TCCGCAATCCTCCATTTAAAAATCTCCCAGGAGCTTTGAGATTACCTTTGGATTGGGTGCGCATGGGCTTGAAAGCATACTGAAAGATTGCAAAAATCACAACAATCACGCTCTAGCGTCCCCTGTTTCGAGTTTGCTTACCCAGTGCAGCATCATTCGTGCTTCACCTCTTTCTGAATGAGACGATATGACGACATAACATTCAGGCCAATAAATCTTTGACTGGAAGCTGATCCATTCCTTTTCTTCACCCTCGCTGCCAAATTGAAAGGAAGCAAAACCAGCAACCGGCCAACAACCTGGCTACCATTATGAAAGCATTGATTCTGGACTCAAGGAACTCACATCGTGCTCGCAGCGCCAGCAGAATACAAAACAATGATCTCCCCTGCCCCTCCCATAGCTGGGGACAGACCACAGCCAAAAGGCTTGACCTCACATCCCTAGGTTCGGAATTAGTCTGTGCAATGCTGTATTGATTGTACTTGGCTTATGGCAAGCAGTCTGCCGCAATGTTTGCAATGGCCTGCCGCAGCCCCAGCAAGGGCAAGATTCGACGGACGGGCCATCACTCCCTGCAGAAGACCACTGGAAGAAGTGTCTTGACCCACTGCGGCTGCAGTTGAACAGCTCTCAAGGCATGGGAGGAGAGACTCCTAAGCACGCTCTACAACCAGCAACCCTCTGCATGTCTGCAAACGTCTGCACGACGCTGTTATCACGACTGATGGTCGCCTTCAAGACCAGCCTAGCGTTCCAGGTGCTCTTCGAGCCTGTCTGGTAGAGGAATTGCAAAGACTTGTCTCGGGATTTTCGGGATAACTAGGTGGAATCTGCATCATATCTGCGATTCGTACAAAGGCCTCGGTTCAACACTCAAGGAGACATGCAGACTCCAGGGAGAATTGACGGGTGAGTCTGCCCGTCTTCTGGGAGAACAGGTGCTCAGATGCGAGTGCAGCGTGGTTGCACACCGTTCCGAAAAAATACCAACCACAGTTTAGAGCTGCACTCGCAACGCGGCATGTGACGGTACAAGATCGTCACACAAAACGGTTAAGAATCTGGGAGTAGGCCCAGGAGGACACATGCATCAAGCATCCTTTTGCCGAGGTAGAAGCTCACCCTCTTAAACAACACAATCACTGCAAGGCCTCTGTGACTTGTGGAGGCGAAAGAAAGACTACTTTACCCGATGGGCTCGAAAGCCGACTTTTTGGAGTAAGACATGCACTTTGCTGCTCATCATCTGGCTCAGTTTTCCAGGCAAGTGGGATCACTGTGGACCTTGGAATTCCATAAACACAAAAATGGAATCCCTGGATTAAAGCAATTCTCTGCAAAATATCCATCAAATTTCGGGACGGGCAACCAACCTATGCCTTCTTGGCCCAGTCGAAGCTGG